TACTGCACAGTGACCTATGCAAGTCATTCAGGGCCTGTCAGCCTTGAATGCACTTTCCCCCACTTTGCAGGGAAATAAACAAAACGCAGGAAAAAAAGCAGCAGTAGACAAGAGAGAGAACAAAGTAGAGACAGGTTTCAGCTCTGACAACTACCTCAGCTGCTGCTGGAACCCTCAGCGAGAATATAATACTTTGGTCAAGGACCTACTACAGTCACGGAATACAGCCAATCCCAAGGATCCCTCAGGGCAGGTGCTGAGGGTGCCATAGGGCAGGCCCTCCCAGCAGAAACACTGCAGGCATTCATTTAAACTCGCATGCAGAACTTCTCCCAAAACCCAACGCTTTGATGAGGGAGAAGTGGGAGCTGCCTTTGGTGTATGGCTGGGAAGAGAGCACCAGATTAAATGGGTAGAAAAAAGTTCATTTCAGGCTCCCATGTCCATTTATAGAAAGCCACATTGCTATTTGGTCAGCACACCCTCCCACAATGAGCCACATCCAGGACCTTGGAGAGTTGGCCACGTTGCACTCCTTGTGATCCAAGTGTTCTGATCCACCGCACCCTTCTTTACAGAGGGAGAAAGGAGACAGGGCTGGAGAATGTCAACCATTAACTACTGCCACTACAAGCTCCTCTCTGTTCCTTGCTAAAATCTTCTCTATTCTAATAGTTAAAACTCTGGGAGATACAGGGCCAAGCTATGGAGGACAGTGAGGCAGATCACCACCTGCCTGTATTTCTAACAAGGATCAAATCTCATCTGTAGGGATGGGGAGCCTTCAGCAGATACAGAACAGCCAAAGAATCTAGAAGTCAACTCGAGACTGGAAGACAGGAATTCCATAGGACATGCTCCATTTCCACAATGCTTTTTCGACTTTCGGATACTGCCTTCCCTGAAGGACAAAAGGTACAGAACAGAGTTATCAGGGAGGCATCAAACAAGCACATACTCAGCAAAAACAGCACTGCAGGCTCACCAGCACAAAAGCAATGGCCATTCACATGTTGCAGACCAATTACACAGGAAAACCCACCCTACCCTTTACCCCAGGCAGATTCTTTCCCCTAATTCAGAATAAAAGGAAAGGACTCATCAGAAGTAAAAGAGAGAGCATCTCCCTGAATTTCATTCACAGCTTATCATCCAGTTTGTCCACTTCAAAAGCCACCACCTAATCACTGCTAGACTGGCATTCCCAGCAGGCTGCAGATATCACCTAGAAGCTCTGTCTCAGGTCGTTTCTGTTATGGAAGCCCTAAACCTCTGAACTCACATAGTAGCTGCATCAGAATAGGGACAGACCTAAAGATCAATAAGGTGCTACATCATTTTTCTCCAGACGCGGAGCTTAATATGAGGCTGAAGTTTTCTTTCCTCGAAAACCACATCACCACCTTTTATCACCCTGCTAAAAAAAAAAAAAAAAAAAAGGCAAAATCACTGCAAAAAAATCATTTAACACCCCCACATCTTTACTCCCACCAGCTACTTATTTCTTTCTGTCAAAACAGCAAGAACCAGGAACAAGGTCTCCCTCAACAGAAAAAAACCCCAACACTGGTGGCAAAGCAATATAAAGTCAAACCCACAAATGTTCTTTCTTTGTCCATGGGCAGCACAGTTATACACTTCTCTGCATGGTGCCCACGTCCCTTGCCCATCAAGTGACAACATGGAGATGAACTAGAAAGAGACAGATACGCCTAAAACAGTAGGCACAGCAGTCCAGCACGCACTATGGCAGCTGAAGAAGAGAGCTGGTACCCAGCCATCAGACTCCAGCTTATAAATTTCAAAAAGCCATGAGAATTTAACTTGTTATTTAAACATCCCCACCACTGTGTTAGTTCTGTCATGCCACAGCACCACGTGCATCCTCATCGCCAAAAGACAGAAGAGCAAGTGTGCCAAAGGAAGGAGCAAGATCTGCTGTTCCAACAAGCACATACAACCAAATGCTATTACCTCAGGAAAGCATTTCTTCCCACTGCGGTCATGTCACCAGAGAAAATGAGAGGACAATCTCTCTCCAGTGTAGATGTTAGAAGTCTGTTCAGACCTCTCAGGCTGGTCTGAACCAGGAACTGGAACCAGCTGATGAATCAATACACCCAAATGGAAGCATGGCCTTAGGCAAACAGCTCTCCCCTACCTGCCTCTTGTGTGTGGGGCTTCATGCAGACATCCAGCACCGAGCTCTTCCACAAGTAACACTGCTGACATAGCAGGCACACTGCTACTGACGGCTGTATTTCAGAAGCATGTCAGACAAATTCCTCCCAATATTCAAACAAATCTGAAGGACATTAATGAACTTTCTGTAACACTTCTGCTTATTTACCCCAGAACTTAAGCCTGAGCATGACTCCCCATATAGATTTTTCCTAGTCTTTCAAGCACTGAGAAGTGAGTAATATTTTAATAACACTACTATAATAATGCCAAAGCATACAACATGTAAACTCTATTCTATACTTACCCTTACATGAACTTGAAGGAGAAAGGAAAAAGGAAGAGAAAAACACCTGTGTATCTTCTTATTAGATCGCAAAAAAGTAAAATGCCAAGAAAATCAGCAGTGGGTAAACAAGTCAATGTGATCACCTCCTCCACAGATGTTCTAGAAGCTCTCCAGCATGTATTCAAGTGTGCTCAATCTAACCTTTCTTTGCACTTCAGATATCACAGCCAACACATGGCCAGAAACAAGTGAGGTGATTCTAATACCGTATTAGGGACTGTTTGTTTTTTTAAAGGAGTTTTAACACCTGGTCTGATTGATTCAATGATTTACTATTCAGGGCTAACTTTGAACCTAAAGACTACCATCACTCAGCAAACAACATCCTGAGGAGACTTGGCCTCGGCAGACCCAGATGAGCCAGCAGGTAGGGCTGCACCGCTGAAGTACAGCCTAAGGCCAAGAGGGTAGAAGCAGAAAGAGGGCAGGTATAGCAAATAAAGAAGCAGTGACTCTGTCCCACTTCTTCATGTAGTCACTTGCAGTTCTTGATGGAGAGAGACAACAGTGCTTGGTATTCAATAATAATAATAATAATTAAACTAAGCAACATGGCAAGGAAAGGAAAACCATACAGTTGTAGAGGACTGAGCATACTTGCCATACCAACATACTGCAATTACAAAACCACTCTATTATACTCTTTGCCAACACTCCCTAACACGCACTCTTTAACTGCAGTCAGGAAAACTGGATGCCTCTATTTCTTCCCACTGCCCAACATCATCAGTAAACAAAATAGCTACTTTTCACTCGTTGTGATTCTGCATCTCAGGACCCTTGACTATGGGAATTAATAGGTCTTTCCTATGGAGTATGCTCCACAAGAGGAAAGTCTGAGCTTACAAAGAAAAGACTATGTACTGAACTGAAGTCTCACTGTCACGTCAGTTCAACTGGCAGAGCAGTGTGGGACACCAAAAGTGTAGCCAAAGTTTGCTTTTCACAACCGTTATGCTAAGCTGCTTCTTTTAGGATGATGAGGATTCCACAGAGGCATATAGTACAGGCTGACAGCTTCACTGTTTAGATTTCTTATGCACACTGTTGAGTAATTCCACTTGAATAATTTTTAAAAAGTCTGACAGCAAAACTCTGAGTTACTTATTTGCTAATGCCAAGTTAGATGCCTTCCACTCTAAAGATTCATTTAAAAACACATAAAACCCAGCCCGCTAGAATGGGTGATAAGAGCAAAAAGGAAAGCTTAGATGCACTCAGAGAAAGATAAATATGTTTTCTCTTTTCAAAATGTAAAGCAGTCTCCTTAATTCCCTAGTGGTGTTCTGCAACCTTCAGTCCTTCAAATACCATCTCCAAGCATTCACCTCTTTTTCCCTCAGCAGTATTTAAATAAATACAGAAACACAGGAAGAAGAAGCCTGCTTTAGAAGCTACCAGAACTGCAAACCACTCAAATCTGAATGGCAGCCACTCACAGGCTGAATGGTCCAGGGTGATGCAGAGAGTCATGTGTAGGGGAGTACCTAGGTATCAAAGCAAGGGGAACAGGTCCAGTGTATCAGCTAATACCAGGTTCTGCTTCCCTCTTCTTCATGTCAGGGCTGCGGAGCCACATTCATTCTACTTATGCCCCATTGCATCAGTACTGGCCTATCTGCTTCGTTCAACTGGTATGATCGCGTTTCAGTGCAAGGGTCAAGAAGCTATTTTCCTGATCCTTTCAAAGCTGTGTAAAAATGTATCTCCTCTGAGCTCTAGCTGGCTACAAGAAAAGACAGTCACAGCTTGAGCAAGTGTGGGTCACGGGCCTCCCTGACCCATGCTGATGCAAGAGTGCTTGGGGAACTGACCTCACACTAGCCTGATGGAACTTTTCTTTTTTTCAAAGCAACTGCTTTGAAAAAGCAGTGGAACTGTATCTACTTCTAAGAGGTATGAAAGTGCTAAAGTCCTTTTCCTCCAGGGCTCAGTGACAAATACTGTTTTCAGCAGACAGATAATCTCCTTTGCCCCATCCAGCTGTCAGCAGGAAGAGGATATTGCAGTGTCAAGTCCAAAGGCAACTGCAGTTCGAGGTTTGAAGGACACTGCCTAAAGTATGTTTCTCAGCACTGTACATTTCCCTCCAGCCCATCCATGGTTTTACTAAATCACAACCCTGGACTGGAAATTCACAAACATTGGAAGAGGAGAGCACTGGAGAAGACTCTGAGTCAAACATCTCTCAAACCCAGAATAATATCCAACCCCCATCCTGCCCCAAACTTTGTAGACTTAGGTCCCACTTGCCTCTGTCGTCAGCATCAGCCCACAGCGGTGTCCTTCCAGGTACCAGCTTCATTTCCCAGCGGGAATTTCCAGTAAGTGCCTCTTATCACTGCTGCTGCCCTCCTGGCCCTGTGCATCTCTTCCCCCTCCCTGGTTCTCCCCCTTAGCACTCCCAGTCTCCCAACAGGTGGGTGACAGCCCCGCATGCCTGGCCAGCCGAGGAGCAGATGCCCATTACCTGGTTCCCAAAGACCGCGATGGAGCACGCGGTGGAGACTTCGTGGGAGCCAAACCAGACAGAGGCGATGCGCGAGGGCATGCCCAGGATGAAGACCTGGGCCAGGGCACAGATGACCTGTCCCAGGACGGTGACGGGGAAGAGATGCGGCTTCATGCTGCCCAGCTTCACCCAGGCGCCCACAGCATTCAGGGCCGAGCCAGCCAGGGCGACGAGGCGCAGCCCCCTCTTGTCCAGCAGCCAAGCGACAGGGAAGAGCAGGGGGATGTAGACGAGCATGTAGCTCATGGAGAGCCAGTCGATGGCGAAGGCGCTCACGTCGTAGAAGCGCACGAAGACGTTGTTGATGCTGCCGTACTGGATCCACTGGAAGGCGTTGCACAGGGAGTAGCTGCTGAAGAGCAGCAGCACGGCCCAGCGACGCCGGGACAGCTGCACCTCGGCGGGGGCAGCAGCAGCAGCCCCTCCCCCCGCAGCCGACTGACTCCGTGCCCCGGCGGGCTCCTGCAGCACCATGCCGGCACTGCAGGCCGCCCTCGGCTCGGCTCGGCTCGGCTCAGGTCCCCGCCGGTACCACCTGACCCGGCCGCCCCCGCCGGGCTCACTGGCTGCCGCCGCACTGGGAGGCGCCGGCGCCCCCGCCCAGCCCGGCCCGGCCCGGCCCTCCCCGCCCACCGCCCCGCCCTGCCGCGGGGACGGGAAGGGCCCGGGCCGCCCGGGAGGGCACGGACAGAGCGCCCGTCACTGCCCAGCCCCGCCGAGCGGCCGCCCCGGCGTTCCAAGGACCCGGGGCACGAGAGGCTGCAGCCGGCAGTGATGAACGGGCTGACCAGAACTGTGTCCTGGGGGAGGCTGTGAGTGGGCTGTGCCCGACCCTGCCAGAGATGCCAGGGTGGAGTCCTGGAGGAGGAACCGGTTTGGGTTTCGTTTGGGTTGGCCTCTGGTTGTTTTTTTCGTGACATGGCACACTAGAGAGTGAAAACATCCAGTGAAGTGAAAATTAAAACATCCCAACCCAACTGAAGCAAAAGAGCCAAAAGTGATGTTTGTTTCCATCCTCACAGGGAACTCGCAGTTAATGAGTCAGCCCTTGTTTTCCCATTACTTTAGCAACACGCCACTGGCAGATGCCTGCCTGGAGATCATTTATGATCTACAGTTCATTTAATTAACATCATGTTACCTGAATTGCACAAACATTCCTCAGTGCAAGGACACAAGATTACTAGTGTTGTTCAGCTCTCTTACAGCATTTAACACAGAGATCAAAACTAATTTGGAAAAATGGCAGCAGTGTCTTTAGAGTGTTGTATTCCTGAAAGAAAGACTTGGGTCAGAGAATGAAAAAGTGAAGTTTCTCTGGCTTGTATTTACTTGGTAGCTACATTATAATGTCGTCCTTTTACATACTTGGTGGAACTTGTGGGATGCTTTTCACAATGGTACAACATAGTCATAATGTAGCCCTTTTACTTAATAAATAAGAAAGACACATTCAGAAGCCAAAGTCAGAAAAGAGGGTTTCAGTCCAATTTATTAAGTTAGGCAACCAAAGTTACTCTAAGCTCTCCACAGAGACAACAGAAAGAACAGAGTAATTTGTTCTAATAAATTTGTAATTTTATGTTATCAGGAATGCAATGAGTGATAGTGGTGCAGAGAGGGCAGAAGTGAAAAAAGAGCTGGAAAAAGACTATCATAGTCCAACAGCTGCTTAGTCTGAGAACTGTGAGGTTATAACAGTAAAACAATACATAAAATAAACTTTTAGGTTCATCAGAAATTTTCAAAAATATTATACAGAAATCGAAGAGATAATCACTATCATTGATTAAAGAGCAGTTGAAAAGCAGAGATAAGAAAAGAAATACATAGGCAATTTTTAGGATGGCAAACTGGGTTTGCTCAGAGGACTATCATTTATTAATAATTCCTTAAGCAGAGCAAAGAACAAAATTTGCTGATTTTGCAGACATTATTGAATTACTAAAGCCTAACTTAAATATGTCCCCTACATGTTGCATTTAGTTCTGTAGCTGTAGTTATCTGTAGCTGGAAGTGTTATCACAGTCCATGGCATCTTTAATTTGTAAACTCCGATAAACACAGGATAATGGAGTTAGGTACTGTATGGCATCTGCTCTAGTCAAAGGTCTCTGGGCAGCAAAGAGTCTGCAGTTTTCAGACTTAAGTCACAGAAAAAAGAACAAGCAGAAAGAGTATAAAGAAAAAATATTAGGAGTTGAGAAGACACTGACACACATTAGGAAAACACTGACAACAGTTAAATTTCTTTACACGTGACTAAAGAAACAACACACACATAGACAAATCTTTAGCTATATGGGAGACAATTAAGAAACACAAGTTTGATCCTTTGCCTCCCACCAGCCCTACTCCAGACTGGGGTCAGAAACAGTCTATCATCTTGTGTTTTGTTTTAGCCCCACCTTGAGCTCCTAAATTTCTTTCAAAAATCCTTTTATTCATTACCAACATAGTCTGTAGCAAGTCAGAGCCTGCCAAGTAAGGAGTCATTTGCTCCAATGTCTTAATCCTATCAGAAAAGTAAAATGGTAAATCAAGAATGACTAAAACACAGACCCTGCTGAAAATAACACCTGAAAACAGATGCATGAAAGTGCCTAGCCTGTCAATTGATTTTGAGCCAGACAGGGAAGCAACCCTGGCTCCCCAAAGCCTATTCAGACAAGTATTTTTCATACCTATAGGCCTACACTTCCCAGAACTCCTGTCCTCTGATTTCAAGGCTGATTTGTTTTGTTTCTGGTTCTGTGAACTGTTCAATCACGCCTTTACACAATTTGCCAATTTCTGGACTAAAACAAAATCCCTGTGCTTTGCATTTCTTCCTCTCCCCATTGCCACATCTGTTTCTACTCACATGAGCCTCTTTTCCTTCTTGAAGCAGCAGAGCAGCTGCTTTTGGATTTCCCTCATCAGAGCATCTTTATATAAAAATTTCTTAGCCATGAAAAATTATTTTTATTTCAGGACAACCCCTTGAAGTGGATTTTAAAGCTAGAGAGAAATCTCCTTTACATGGAGATAAACATAAGTGCTAAAAAGCTTATAGAATCCTGTAGCCAAAAGTATCTGTGAAGGTTGGAAGGCATTAAACCAGAGGCAGAAGAAAGACCCACATTAAATGTAATGGTACAGGCCATCAGACAGAGCCTAACCTCTCTGTAATCTTCCCTACTGATGTCAAGAAATCCAACATCTGACTCTCTTGCAATATATGCTGCCTTTATGACCAATGAGTACATGAAATTCCTTTACATTCTGTAAGGACTGAAGAACTTGCCTTCCAACAAGCTCGTTATTCTCAAAGCCCACCCAATAAGTATAAATGCTGGGGATAATGGTGGCAATGATAATCCAGCTTCCTGATTTCTGCATGGCAACAGGGCTCAATGACAAGCAAGACAATATAAATGGGTGGTGGAAATTGGCTTGGAAGTTGTGCAGAAAGCACCGTAGAAAATTATTGTGAAAAGAATAATTCCTTGATGTCTTTTCTACCCCATACTGGATCAGAGGTCCAAGGAGTAGGTGTCAAAAAATGAATGTTGCTAGGGAAAAGCAGGTATTTGAGGATCTACTGAATCTTCCACTTATGCAGTTCTTTAGGCTCCATTTAAATGCGAAGTATCTAAGCTCAAAGGATCACAGGATGTCCCTTGCTTTCAAACTTGCAGCCTTGTGATTTCTGTCTCTAAATTTCATCATTGCACTTACAAAGCCTAACTAGTGCAGCTCTTGGGCAGCTCTATTGCATTTTGATTGATAGCGTTTAGGTCTAGAGGAGCTGTCAGCAGATATCCCATACAACCTTTCACAACAGACATCACAGGGTTAGTGGAGGGAGAAGGTTTCATATTGGGTTCAACACCCAAACTGCTTTAGTGGAATTCTTCAGAGGTCAGGTAGTTGTATCATAAGACCAAATGGCAAGACCCGAATAGCTGGCAGAGCTACTTACTTCTGGGTCACACTTGGATGCAGTCCTCAGCTGGAGACACACGCTGCAGTCCGTGGCAGGGCTGCGGCGCTGGACAAAGCCAGCAGTGTTCCCCTACAGAGCAGGGAAGGCTGCGAGCCCTCTGCTGGCACCTATAGCTTTCTGCATCCCAAGTGCCACCAGAAAGCAGGACCCAGTATACAGCTTATAAATGCCGTGGATTAGTTTATTACTGTAGATTAGATACACCCTAAACCCTTAAGAATCTTTCCTGTTACATTTCTAGTGTAAAGATCTGGGTACATAGACAGTGATTAACAACTCTACTCATTACAATGCAGTATGCAACCTCTTCAGCACTCAAAATTTTGCAAAAATTACCTTCCTCTACACAAAACACAATGGCTTGGTTGCACACTCTAAAATCTCTTCTAGAGAAGACTGTGGACCTCAGAACCACCAAAGTTGTGCAGGGGCTAACTCTGAGCACCAAACCTATCCTGTTCAAAGTTTAAGGCCTTTCAAAAGTATAACTCAAGGAAGGGAAATAATGTTTTGCTCCCCTTCAGCATATTTCCTGTGCAGCTCATGGCGCTTCACTGGGGATGCATCACCTATGTCCATTTTACAGGGGCACAAGGAGTTACGGTAATTTGCCTGGGTGATTTGCCTGTGGTCCTGCCAGAGGCGTGACTGTTTTTCCAGTCTGATACCTTCCAGCCTGGGCTGCAAGGGCTTTCCCAACAGCAGCCTGAAATACCACCTCTTTGCAAATCCAATCTCCCTGTTCAAAACCTGGCTTTAACACAGCAATGGCCTTAATTTAACTCTGTCTAGTTCAGGTGTGATGTTTGTGTGGATAAATCATACAGGTCTGAACTGCAAAGAGTACATGGGAAGGCATGACTGAAGTGCCAATTCACTGCTGCCTTTTTGCAGCAAGAAAAAGGTGTAAAAAGGGGTGTGCAGCATGGAAGAGCACTTGCATGCATGGTACCTCTGAAGTGCCAGTTTTTGGTTAGTGCACACCTCTCCAGACTCAGGGCAGTTACGCCACCTCTACATGGCTTTCTGCAAACAGATATCAACTTGCTCTGCCCCATCTCTGATCTGGCCGGATGAGAACCGGCTCTAATCCAAAAACTGTGTTAACTGTGGTTAGTCTACTGTGCTTCTTGAGCATCTCAGCCCAGCTCTCAACTCTTGCTTTTGAAAAGTTGTGGAGATATAGACAGCTGTGTGGAAAGCTGTGCATAAGCTCTGTCGTTTGAGCAAACCCACCTCACTCCTCTGCTGTGTACCAGGCACACACATGAGACATGAAAATCAAAATAAAAGAAGTGAAAAAGATCTAGTTAGACTTAAAACTCAGCCACAGTCTAGATTTTCCAGCCCAGTCCAGATCAGGGTCGCAGATTAACCCCAAATACCAAAGCTCTAAGTTTATAAGCCCTTCTTACTCAGCATTCTCCAGCCTCCATTTCAGTGAGTCATATTAGTTCATGACAATGACATAAAAAAAGGTTTTCATCTTCTATTTCTTGCAGTTGACATCAATTGATAATAAAAGTGTGCTGGAAATATGCATGGT